GGAAGCCAGGCCGGGGCAGTCGGGCGGAGGAGAAGCGGGCACGGGCAGTTCGGCGATGACAGCCGGGCGGGGACAGCCGGGCGCGGACATCTAGCGTGCCATGAGCCGAGCACCCTTGAATCGTCGGCATCGACCGGCGCCATCGATTGCCAGCCTGGTAGAGCGCGGCCCCCGTTTGACGGGAGTGTGCCACATTCGTGTGAGGTTTCGAACTAAAATAGCCATCTTGAAGATCATTCGATGCTGTTCGCAGCCCTGCCCTTCTCAAAACCTAAACCCGTCTAGTTTCTTTGCTAAACGCCCACAAAGATGCAGGGTATTTTCGGGAGACTATTTCAGGGTCACACAGGCATCCATACCGCCGCCGCGATGACGTCATTCAAATCCTGTTATCGAATCTGTTGGCCATGCGATGACAAAGGTCAATACAAATACCAATGTCGACTCGTTCACAGCAGGCGTTCGTGAGCACGACTTCCAGGTATAACGGCCGTCAACTGCCTCTCAATCACTGTTGTGATGGGTACGATGACGTTCCCAATACAATGGCGCATTGAGGAGCATATTTGCTATACGGAGAAATTGTGTTGCCTGGAGCAGCCCGTTCCACCCGAAAGTATATCAACAGTTAGAAATGAGCTTATTCCATCATACATAACGCTTTAACATCTTAAAATGTGGAACATTCCGAGCGCGCCGGCGTGCGCCCGCGTTTCGCCCGGGCGCCGGTCAGGTCAGATCAGGTCAGGTCACGTCACGCCAGGTTAGGTCATGTCAGGTCAGGTCAGGTCCCGGCGACGGGAAGGCCTGAGCCTTTGCCTGGCGGCCGGAGGCGAGCTGGCCGGGTCGCCCACGGCCGCGTGGACGGCAGACATGCCAGCCCACTTGGGACGGGCGCTGTGAGCCGTGCTCCCCTCCCCTTGAACTGCAGTGTCTACCAGACACGCGCACGAATCAACGCGCGCTGGTCGTCGTGTCGGCGCCACTCAGCAGCTCCGGTATCGCTCCCGAAGTCACACATGTCGGTGACAGCTGAGCCCGCGGCTCAGGTGCCCGCCGCCCTAGGAATACGACAGATGGTGACGTCACAAGACCGCTGAATGACGTCCAAGCTCCCGCTCCGACACTGCACGTACGGATACCGTGGTGAACACATCACGGTCCGGGGAAATTTGAGTCCAAGATTAATGACCAACAGTTTTGACCTCGAGGTCCACAACTCAAACCTTGCGTTACGGCAGTCGGAGCGCTCTATGTGCCACATCATCCGTCACAATCGCAAGAGGTCCATTTTGGGATCCAAGCTCTCCTTTGAACAGGTGAGGAGCAAACCCCAAAACTTGCATAGCTGGTCGTTCCGCATCCCACACACTAGTCCGTAGTGTGCACTTTAAAAGAGAGGCATTTCAATGTGTCCTCCATTTTGGGACGCATGCGCGAATGAAATCCACCCCTTCGCACACCCGCAAAACATCGACGCTCCTGACGCGGCAGCGCTTCCCTGTACCTTTCGGCAGAGTATCCTGCACGTTTCGGCGCAGTACGCTGTACCTTTCGGCAGAGTACCCTGTACGTTTCCGCAGAGTACCCCGTACCTTTCGGCAGAGCACCCTGTACCTTTCGGCACAGTACACTGTACCTTTCGGCAGAGTGCAGGCAGTTCAACCGTCACAGTTCAACTTTCGCTCCCGTCAGCTGACACTCCAATGAGAAAACCCAGCACTGATAACAGTTGAGGGCGTTCAATCAGCTGGAAAGCAGACCTATTTTGGTGTCCAAATTGTCAGCCGCGACAGTAATCTGTGATGGCTCAAGAACAAGACGGAGACAGACAGCCAGATTCCGGCACTCGGCGGAACGCACACACTCGGAGGAGCACCAGCTCAGCTCAAGAAAACATCGCTGTCGGATGTATATATATATATATATATATATATATATATATATATATATATATATATATATCAACTATCGCAAGTTCCACTGCCTCATATACGCGATATGGGAAAAGCGGACAGCGCATCCAGCGAAGTCTGCCTAATGTTGAAACGAACATTCAACGTAGTCATATGGTAAGATTTAAACCTTCAAACGTATCACTCTGGCCTGGGCATTGGACACACAGCGCGACTCAGGGCATTCTCTCCGTGGACCATGAGCGATTCAACATAATGTTCGTAAATTTGCAGGAAGGTACCATGTACATGTGCCATCTATATGGCCGCCAACAGCAATACTTGAGGTTGAAGAATACCATTCAAACGTGGAACATTATTTTCAAAACTGATACATTACTGTATTGTATCACTACAGTGGTACCATATTGGGCAAGATCGTACACGTTCCATCAAACCGGCCAATCAGACGTTTCCCGGGAGTGCAACTTCAAACAGTAAAACGCCAAGCAATCTTTCTGAAGATTATGTGACATGAATCCCTAGTGCCAATGATCTTCCACTGACACCAGGCTCCGGCATGTCTTCGCATTCTTTAAGAGACAACTGATAAGTACCGTTGAAGCGTTGAGCTCCTGTCCTTGGCGATAACAGGCCTCTTGGCTTCCTTGCGATGGCAGTTCCATATCACACGCATCACCCGTCCTTCCACGCTTGCGATGGCAGTTCCATATCACACGCATCACCCGTCCTTCCACGCTTGCGATGGCAGTTCCATATCACACGCATCACCCGTCCTTCCACGCTTGCGATGGCAGTTCCATATCACACACGCATCACCCGTCCTTCCACGCTTGCGATGGCAGTTCCATATCACGCGCATCACCCGTCCTTTCCGCCAGCCTCTTCCAAATACAGCAAAATGCTTTCCCCTCGCGAAAGGGCATCAAAAACCCTCCGCCGACGGCACCGCCCCGCCACGGCTGCTGGGGAGCCTACCTTTCGAATGACTTTTTTTCACATTTCAAACAGCGGGATTTGGGAGGGGGCGGGGTAACCACGACGCCTACATTTTGATTCTCAGTGTTCCCGGGGGGGGGGGGGGGGGGGGGGGGGGGGTGCTCGCCGTGACAACTGACGTTAGAAGTGCTGATGACGAGAAATGGCATGTCGCTTTCGTGTACGCGACTCGCTGCATATTCTTGAGACGAAAGCGACATCAGCGGTACTACAGCACCGAAACTGCCAAGCTGGGGATCCATGCGCGCTACGTGCTGAAGCCGCTGGCTCGGTCCCGAATGGGCCTCATCCGAGCTATGGACGGCGGGGGGGGGGGGGGGGGGCTAGCTAACCTTCCTGAGTGTGCCACTGTCCCAGAGAGGCGATCTCGGACTGAATGTCACATTAGTAACGCGCGCGTACGACGTGGCGAGGGAAAGGGGTCCCGAACGGGACTTGTGCGGTAAGCCACAGACCAAGCACCTGGAGCATTTAAGGTCTCTTCATCCACAACACAACTGTATGCACCACAACCTCGATGAGTGCACACGGCACCGCTTGTGGGTGGTTGATCGAGACAAGCATCTATTGAGGCAACGCGTGCCCCTGTACCGCTAACGGCGGCTGGGGTCGGGTCAGGGACCGTGCCCCTGTACCGCTAACGGCTGCTGCGGTCGGGTCGGGGACCAAGCCCTTGTACCGCTAATGGCTGCTGCGGTCGGGTCAGGGACCGTGCCCTTGTACCGCTAACGGCGCCTGGGTCTCGGGCCACACTGAGCTCGTCCAGACATGGCCGGCTGGGGGCAGTGACGCACAGATGCCGCCAGCGGCCAACACAGCCGGAAAGGATGCGTCGCAGTCGCGGCGGCAGAGCCTGAGCAGACGACATGGAACACGTGCAGGGTCCATTACCGCGCGTGTCACCGGCCATGGCGACCACCAGTACGGTACAGGTGATCCACCGGGACGCGGGCTGGACGGCCGGCCCTCGGCTCCACTCCAGGACTGGTGACATGTCGGGGCCGCGACCTAGGCCTCGTGACTTGTCGGGCACACTCCAGGCACGGTAACCTCTTCTTGCTATCCCGTCTGACCCCATCCCAAGCGTGGTGACCTATAGGGCCCGATTCCAGGCAGATCCCTCAGGCGGCATGCCAACTGTGGTGGCCTTTCAGGGTCCTGCCGGGAATGGCAATCTCTCACACGCCGCTGTCCGGGGAACGTCAGTATCCTCCACACATACCGACCTTTCTATCGTGACCTTTCTGCGACGCCTGACGTCGGGTGTATAATCGCGCTCCTATGAATTCGTTCGCCTGCGTTCCCAGGCAGGCAAAGATCAGCAAAAACTATGCCGCGGTCAGAGAGAGAAATTGACGGGGTAGAAGTCTCTGATAGGAGGTTGACGACCTCAAAATGATACGAACCACTGCTTTTCTCCAGAAAAGGCAGTATGTTCGCGTTGCTCTTTCTGCGTGCGCTCGCCAAAGGCCATGAATGTGATATCCGAGTGGTGCATAAACGCGTCGTAGTTCACGTTCATGAAATTCGGCGCTGCCACCCACTTTTCCGTTGCCACGCAATTACGTTCTACTACGCTGAAAACCTTTTTGGCGATGTTCATTCGACTTTGTATGTAAAGCAACCGTCTATGCACCGGCCGCAGGAGACTCAGAAGGCTTGTGGCAACATCGGGTGACATCATTTACGCCCCCCGAATGTCAGGGCCCGAACACAAGACGCTGGCAGCTTAATCCTCTGCTGGGCTGTTATCCCAAGATTCTCCAAAGGTAATTGTGAAATACAATACACACATGTAAATCCAGCCGATAGTCTGGTCCCTGTCAGAGGGTGCCGCAGCTCCCCAGTCCTGGATCCGCGGTGCCGTCGATGCTGGACGACCAGCAGCAGCAGCCCACAGAAGACGCGCCCCACCTTCACCAGCAGTTGGTCCGGTACTCCGGCACACTCCACACATCGCACACCGCACACCGGAGGACACTCACCTGGGTCCGGCGGCCGGCTCCCGCCCCGCCTTCACCAGCAGTTGGTCCGGTACTCCGGCACACTCCACACATCGCACACCGCACACCTGAGGACACTCACCTGGGTCCGGCGGCCGGCTCCCGCCCCGCCTTCAGGTCGTCCAGGATCTCCTCGATGTCCTTCACGGACAAATCCTCCTGCAACACACCCCAGTGTCAACATCCCGGGCAGGCCACACCCCTCAGCACACTTGCGCGCCGGAGCCCAGCGGCTCTGCCAGCGGCACAGCCCACTACCATCTCGCCCCGCAAACATCACGTCTCTGTTGAGCGGGAGAACATTCGGGAACATTCCAGCGCGTCGGTACCTCAGAGGACGGGCAGACGTGGGCGAGCTGCTGCGTCCCCGCCTCTCTTCCCTCTCTCTCGGGGTCGTGAGCGCGCCCAGTGACAACGGTGCGGCCGCCGCCGAGCCGCGGCGCCTGGGGCCGACGGCGGCGCCGCTGCCGGGGCGTCAGCTGCAGTGTGAGGCCCCCTCCCAGAACAGCACATCGTTCCGGCCGCCGAGCCGCCGTTCGCCGCTGTCGCCGGCCGCCGCCGCCGCCGGCAGAGACTGCGAATAGCACCGCTCGGCGCGGCTCACATACAGAAAGCCCCATTAGCGGCGCCCGACCCGCCAGAGGCCGCAGGCTGCGGCCGGCCGGCCCCGTGGACGTCACCGGCCGCTCTGACGTCCCGTCCGCGCCGTTCGGGGCCACGTGCCGCCTCTCATCACGGCCAGATTAGAGCGCCCGCTTCGGTCGAAACGCCTAGCAATTGGGTCTGGATCGCGTGCTTTCTCACTGCAGGCTGGGGTCTAGTCGTGCCGTTACCTGGGCAACTGCAGGCCAAATATTCATCGCCATTGCAACATCCTGATTGGATCCCTCGCTGTCCTCTGCAAGTTGTGCAAACGACCATGCACAACTAGCATCCCACATAATTGGTACGCTCGCGGTATGCTCTCGAAATTTATTCCGCGGTATGTTTTTGTAAAACCGCGCCAGAATGATGTCATTCTTGTGCTGTAACATTGATCACATATCCGTTGATGTCCTTTGGTTTCATGCGACCTTAGCGTCAATGTCTCCACGTGGAATTGGTCTGGACAGAAGCGTTTTTTGAACTGCACGTTAGACTGCGAGGCACCTTGGCTTGAAGGGAGTAAGCCATCTTTGGGACATGTTTCAAGACCATCTATGTTGATACCTTATCAGAACCAGTCATGTCCAATAACAGCGCTGGGAGTGCCACTGAATCATAAACAAGATATAGTACGGAGATGATTTAGGATTATTTTTTAGTTCAAATTTTGTAGCCAACGTTTCAGCACAACGCTTCTTCCTTTCCTTGTAGCCCCAAGTTTTATTTCTGGAATGGGCGATCTTGGCGCATCCAAGACATTCTAGTAAGATATTCATCGTAGCCTTCGCGAACGTACGCGGGGATTTCACGTCGATCTGGTTCCAAGCTGGCATGGTAAGTGGCACAATAAAGAATAGTAGTGGTAGTAATTGGGGCTTTCCGGCGCTTCGACAGCGCAGCCATATAGCACGTACAACGTATGCCCTCATCAAAGTGCTTTAAACATTTCAAAGAGGGCTTTTATGTGGAACGATTTGAGGCGGTGTATATATGGAGCAGAAGTAAAAACGCGAAATAAATCTGAAGTGGTGATCGACGTGTATTGAATCATTACCGAGTGGACCAGAGAGCGTGACGGACGGTGCGGTCGGACCGAAGAACTGCAGGCGCTCAACAAGAAATGTGGGACAAGAAACGAGCGCATGATGCACGGTAAGTGTTTTGTTACATTGGCGGCACCGGGGTGGTTCATCGCAAGAGAAAGCTACCTGTAAACACCAACAATCAGGGTCTTGGTGCATATCAACTGCGATAGCCAGAACTTACCCCGCCATTTACGGATGGCATGCATGCCGGGTTTTGAAATAAACGTTGGTGACTGACACAACGGACGCCGTAATCCATTTAGGTAAGTGCATTGGTGGACGTCAGACGAGCATGCGCAGCACCAAACCGCGCGATACATTGCTCGCGTTAACTGCTTTGTAAACACAGCCTGGCAACGAACTCAGCATCAAGTATGCAATGTTTCCAAAGCCTATGTGCGCCGCGGTGACAGTCACCGTGCTTAACACTATAGTGGAAATACCAAACCCAAAAGATGACATTTGGTTGAAATCACGTGATAATTGTTTCAATAGTCTCAATTTGTACCTACATATTTCCCAAAATATCTGGCAGTTCAAGCCCGCATACCATTTATTGCGCGAACATTTCGGTCAGCTAGTGTGCTGGGAACGTCACATGGCACGCGTGTTGAAAAAGGAAAGCAAAGGAAAAGTATTATTGCCATAGTGAGGAGAAGGGAGTTCAAAAACATTTCTCCGTCGGAGCGGCTACTTCAAAGCAACATTGATTTCGCGGGACTGGTATTACAGACCCAATCGGACGCATCTGATCAAACTATTAGTGCAGAGTACAAAAAGATAGCATCCTCATTTCCATAATAATGCTACTATTAAGATTAATAATAATAATAATAATTATAATTAAAAATAATAATAATAGTAATAATAATGACGACGATGACGACGATGATGGCAGCAATAATAGTAATTATAATGACAATAACGCAATGAAAAATAATACAAACTTCACATCGATACGTCAAAGAGCAGCAATCATAATCAGAACGACACATTTACACGCAGGACGGGACCAACTTGCACGGATGAGTTGTTCATAATTTAGTCCGCATTTTTCTCGAAGTTAGAGCGGCATGAGCCTAATTTGGGGGGAGAGGATTGGGGGGGGGGGGGGGGCTGAACCCCAGCCCCCAACTGGATGTGAAACTACACCCCTGGCTCGTGCTATTTTGTCTCCAAACAACACCTTCGATCTCGATTGGCATTACACCGGTCAACACACGACACTGGTAAAACAGTAACGAGGCCTCAGCTCGCCTGTAGTCTGGCACAAGTACTGCCGAGATTGGTTTTACTCATTTCGTTGACCCTGTGACACAGCCAGGGATGTAAGTTTCTCTAAAGTTGGGAAAACTCTAGCCGCCTCCACTTTGAGAGAAAAATGGGCCGAATGTAAGATAACTTCGTTCTAGTGTCTTGTCTGGGCAAGTTAAGCCATTTTCCCTGATCACCCCCCCCCCCCAAATTTTGCGAACTGTACCCGATGCACAGCTCCAGGCAGCCGGCATGACGCAAGCAACAGACAGGCAGGCAATCTGCAACCCTCACGCGCCGTCCGGATCTGGCAGCACACCTGACCGATGAATACAAATCGCGTCCGGATCTGGCAGCACACCTGACCGGTGAAGACAAGTCGCGTCCGGATCTCGCAGCACACCTGACCGGTGACGACAAGCCGCCGTCCGGATCTGGCAGCACACCTGACCAATGAAGACAAATCGCACATTTCCATTGCGACCGGTGCACAAAACTTCGACGAACGCTCGTGACCAGCTCTCCGCTGGAAGGTCCACATGGTCAGGGTGGTGGTGTTCTGCATGGTCAGCGTGGTGGTGTTCTGCACGGTCAGGGTGGTGGTGTTCTGCATGGTCAGGGTAGTGGTGCACAGTCGGGGCCAAATCCGGGAAGACAACTCTTCGGCATAATGGCGTCGACCCCACGGCCACGGCTGACAGCCAGCCTTCGCCAGGATTAAAAATGGGGTAGACTAATGAGCCCGGTGCAACACGCCATGCTATTTTTAAGCGCGTTTTATTCTGCTTCAGACCGCCGTTACGGGAAGCCGCACATCGTGCGCATGACGTCGCTTGCGACGCCGTTGCCTCTCGGGATCTACGGCACCGCACTCACGGGCATCGCAGGAAATTGCCGCCTCTGGCCGCCTATCCATGGCAACCCCCGACAATCAGCGCCCAGCGTCCCTTGTGACCCATCCCTCCTGGGGGACGGGGTATTGGAAGACCAGCTAGACCGTCGTGACTTCAATGTTCCTGCACGCCAAACAGCCGCAGTCACAGCCAAAAGGCGACGCCGACCATGTTCCGGAGAGCCCCAGATCGTCTGCTGACCGGCTCCCCCCTCGCCCCCTGACAACCCGCCCCTGGCGTTATCTGCGCCATTCATCGCCTCGGCGCCTCTGTTTACACGCTGATCCAGGCGGCCAATCCGACGCATCGATCGCGGCCCTATTACGCGCGCGGCAGCGCACACGCGGCGCAGACGACGGAAAAAGGCGCGCCCCACCGATCCAACGGCCAGTCGGCGATAAATGGCAGCTGGAGAGGAAAAAACCGGCGGCGAGCGTCGCGCCACGGGGCCGGCGGGCGTCCGACGCCCCCTCGGGAGCACGCGGGCCCGTCGGCGTCTCCCCGAGGCCACGCGTCCCAAGACGGACGGCCGGATTTCCGATAGTGCGTGCCAGACGGGAGAGGACGCCTCCCTAGATGCCACGTGTCTGGAGACGCCCCCTCTTGCAGTCACGTGCTTGAAGACTTCCCTACGGAGAGTCCCGTGCCTGGAGACTTTCCCCCTGGGAGTCACGAGCCTGCAGACTCCCAATCCTGGGAGTCCCGAGCCTGCAGACTGCCCCTCCCGGGAGCAAACGTGCCCGGAGACTCCCATCCTGGGAGGTCACGTGCCTGGAGACCCCCTCCTGGGAGTCACGTCTTTGCAGACTCTCTCTCCTGGGAGTCACGTGCCTGGAGACTCCCGCTCCTGGGAGTCACGTGCCTGAAGACGGCCGTCCGGACAGTGCCTGTACATCCGACAGCTGGCGAAACTCGCTTGTCTTTGGTGAAGTATGGTTGCTGTCCGATGTGGTCTGTTGCGGGGCCCTTCGGTTACATGGATCTTCCTTGAGGCGCCCTCCACACCTTCCTCTTTAGGTACTCATACTGGTTCCAATTAAGTCGGATTTCTCCTCCTCGGCAGCTTGTTTTGAGTTGCCTGGTGCGGCCAGAGGCGGATGGTCTATCCCGGAGCCTGGCTGTGATGTAGTCCAGGGCCTGGTCGGAGCTTCCGTTACCGGGAGCGTGTTTTTTCCCGATCTAGGCCCGACGTTTGGCGCTCAGAGAAAGAACACGGACGCGAGTATTGCACACAAGTCCGATGCTGGAAGACATATCGTTGATATGGAAATACCTCAGATTT